GAGATGATTTCCTGTCAGAGGGGTTCAAGTTGGTGCTGTAGATAAGGACAAATGTTGATGAGGAAAGAGGTAGGTCAATCACAGAGCTCTTCCGTGACTGTTAACTTGATTTAAAATACTCTTCCTCGATGGTTTATTGGCTTTGCTAATAAAATTTATTTATTCTGTTTTTTAACATAGGCCCTGTTTGAGCCAAATTATTGTAGAATGAGAATGAAAGATATAGCCGTTATTGGGGCCCACATAAGAGATATAAAATTTGAATTTAAATGTTGATGTGATGGATAATTGTCATATTTTTCATTTTAATGAGATAATAATGTAGATCAAACGGGGCTTAATTCTTGATTTCAGTCAACAATTGTACATATATATACTTACAAGTATGAAACAAGATTACCATGTTTTATCCTAAAAAGTAANTCATTTTAATGAGATAATAATATAGGTCAAATGGGGGCATAGTTTATACCAGTTCTCGTAGGCATGGTAACATCATGTCATCATCAGCATTACTTTCATTTTATCAACTAGGCTAGTTGCACCTTCAAATGTCATGGGAGCTTCTCTTTGTTACATGTCTTACTGATTGTGGAATAAATCAGTTTATCTGCTTACAAGAAAGGACAAAAAGTCCTAAGTGAAGTGGAAAGCTGTATGAAGAAAAGTTCTCTCTTTTCTCCCCCATCACTGATCAATTGTTATTAAGTAAGCAGCTAAAAAAATCATGTTTTTGTCACATGAATCATGAATGTTGATTGCTTTGCATAGCATTAATGATGAGGCGTATGTCCATAAATATAATTTTCCATGCCGAACTGACTTGACTAGGTGAATACATCATGGGTGTAAATGTTAATTTGGTTTAAGGTCACATTAATGCAAATGATTTGTTTCTTCTTTGTTTTGAAATTTGGTTTTGTAGAAGTCCTAAAGTTGGCTGAATGAATGGTTATTGTTTTTTAATTCTGAAAATGATTTTCAGTAGGTCCATATGATGCCATCTTCACTCTTCTATTCAGTCATCTAATTTATTTAGAATTTTTTATCAATTTAACATTCAGGGAAACAAGAAGTTGAGAAAAAAGGTTTAAAAACTACATGCAAGTTCCATGTGTGGATTTAGCTGGGAAGCAGTAGAAAATATACACGGTAGATCCTCTGATGAATAAATGCCATCCTACTTAATCAGTCTCCGCTACAAAGCAAGAAGGAAATGTAAACAAACATAATTTGGTAATTCTAAAGAGATGGTTCTTAGTGAGTGCCCAAAACAAATTGAAAAGTTTGACTTGAGGTGTGGAGCTCACATTTTTACAAGGAAAAAATGGAAATACATATAATTATATGATTGGAGAAATAAGAGAGAATAATTTTCATGAGCTTGGTCTGGAGCTATTTAGTTGTGGTGCTTGATTATATAATAGGGAGTCCTTATAAGGATTTTGTATCATCAATAAAAAAAAAGAGAGAGAGAGGGGTTAGAGAATATATGTTGAGCAATTTCACTCTTGAAAAAAACTTATTTTTCATCTTAGTGCTTGTTTGGTAAAGATTAAAATCTAATTAAAATTGAAAATATAGTCGTTATTGGTTCCACTCGTTTAATAAAAGTCAACAATAATGGTTAATTTTTCAATTTTAATCCGATTTTAATCCCTACCGAACACGCCCTTAGTGAATTGCTGCATTAGGGGAAGAGGACACTGTCTTACTTTGAGGTAAACCGATATAAATTTTGTGTGTTCTTTTATTTGTTTAGTGCGATTTTATTGTTCTTGGTGGTATAGAATTAGAATTTCTATTTCTCAACATGCGTAGTTTCTCTTGCCATAATTGTTCTCTCTTATTTATCTGATTTGTTTCCCAACGTGATAAAGTTGTCACACATTCAGATTAGAAAGTATCCACTTTTATGGACAATTCATTACTGTAGTGGAGGTTGATGGAATGAAAAAATAGGCAGGTAAGTCCCTCAGCACTTCGTACAACTTTTACTTGATTCAAAAAAGAATTAAGCCAAATGTACGGGTATCTACACCCTCTCACGTGAGGACCCACCTCAATAAAAAAGTAAAAAAGAGAGTCATGCTACTCTTACATCCTTGGTACACAATCTTGTACACACACCCCTCACACGGGGGTGCGGGCCCCTCCCCCTCCCCCCATGTGTGAGTTAGAACCCCCACCTGTGGACGAAGCATGATTGTTCTTAAAAATTACTCTCTCTCTCAATTTTCTTTGTTATGCTGATGAATTCTGTTTATTAATATTCGTTATGTTATTTATACTAGTTTCATTGTGTCATTAATCTTTATGTTCAGTTGATTAACTTGATGCTAATTGCTAGCTTAACTCTTCCATGGAAAAAGGAAGAAGAAGAAGAGAAGGGAAGAATCATAATTGGCAGAAGAGGAAAGGAGATCAATGCACACGGGTTGAAGACGGAACAGCACTACCATAATCTATTAAGAATAAGAGCTTC